CAGGAGAGACAACTGGAATGATATTAATTCCTTTTATATGACATTGTTTTTCCATCATTTTCTTCTGACCATATTGACAGGTCGGGAAAACATTAAGTCCAAGAAGATGGAACGCGGCATTTACTGACGATGGTCATTTAGATATGGCTGGTGTTCTTAGAAGAATCCAGAGAGGGGTAAAGTAGATTTCTAATAAAGTCTATGAGGTTACATATAATTATTTGAAGAGTTGTTGTTGCCATCTATCAACTGTAGTTGTAAAGTATATAAGAATCCGGGAAGGATTCCATGGTAGTCTTGTATTCTCATTATTCGCTTTAGAGATGAGCCACCTGTTATATTTTGTCACACTTCTTTATTGTGTCTGATAATTTGCATAGGCAAAATGGGTCAAGGAGGAGTCTTCATTGTGATAATTATGTCAGCTTGCTTATCTTCTAAATCACAAGAAAATCCTATGTACTTTTTTTGTCTAGTTGCAACTTTCATCAAATTTAGCTGATCATTGCTTCAAATATTATAAATAGCAGGTGAAAGGTATGTGACGTTTTGTATTATAATGGCACTGCTGAAGTTTCCTAATTTGCTTTATTGCCGTAATGATTTTATCCGTTAATTTTTGTTGTTATTGTCCGTGTGTGTATTTATGTGCGTAGAAATTGGTTACTGTTTAACTAGTCATCGTGCAGTGAAGGAAATTTTCTAAAGATTTTAATCAAATTGTATGTGGTGTTAACTGAATAATTTACTTGTATATGGTCTATCTGCAGTGTGGATACATACAAAACTCACGTTCTTATTTGGCTATTAAAATAGGGAATTCATCCTACTATTAAAGGGGCCGTCTGGGAGTTCTTGTTGGGTTGTTATGATCCCAACAGCACATACGATGAAAGAAATGAGGTCAGGGAGCAGAGAAGGTAACAGGCTAATTTCATTTATGACATTTGCATGTAAGATTCACCTGACTTGTGTGGCCTTGTTCTGGCCAAGTCACACTAGATGAAATTAAAGGTCTTGTTCTTTTAAGAGGCTATCGGTTTCTGTTCTGGTTGGGTCTTTACATTATATTATGGTTTTCAAGTAGGACATGTCAAATATCATAATCAACTTGAGTTGATTGCCTTAGCACAATACATCAGATTCGTTCGAATTTAACTCAGTTTGCATTTATTAAAGCTACAAAAAAGTTTTTGCCTGAATCCCGTTCATTGACTGCTCAACTTTTCTATTGCCATAATTCTATTATGGTGTTGAATTTGAAAGCAAGAAAACTATCAGAGCTGTAGATATAGTTCAAGTCACAAAGTGGCCTAAAGTGTGTGCATTTTGTAACAGAATCAGGTTTCAGGTAATATATCCTTGCCCCTTCTTAGTGTGACACTGAAAGTACGATTTGCACTTACCTGCTTTTATTAGAAGTTTGCTGCATCTACTTATTGCAATTTAAACTCAATACGACTCAGTTAAGTTCTTTTGCTGTTGGCACTTGCTAACTGCCAAGTTCATTTTGAGTGCATACTCATTTTTTAAAAGTTGCTGTGACCTTTTCTTGGGGTACTAACATCAGTGGCATACAGTTTAGTGTGCTGAATGTGTTCACTTTTGTATGCTTTCAGGAAACAATATGTTGCATGGAAAGAGTTATGTCAAAAGATGTTACCAACTTTTGGCACTGGAAAGTTCATCACAACACCTATAATTACTGATGATGGCCGACCTGTCGAAGATCCCTCTGGTAATAGTGTTGCCTTGCCAAATTATGGTGCATTAGATCAAAGGGAGATCAATTGGATGCTTGGCCTACCTCAAATTGGTTTGTGCTTGTTCATAACTTTCTTTATCCTTTGCTTGATATAACATGTGGTCGCTCATGGAGAGCTCATCTTTCATATAATAAAGCTTCAACCTTGTGATGGATTTGACGCACTGGCTTGTAGGGTGTATATAATATATTATATTATATATATATATATATGTGCTGTTTTCTTTTACTGCTGATATAGATGATAAATTTGCGTGCTTTAGGTTTGGATGTTGTTCGTACTGACCGGACTCTTGTATATTATGAGACTGAAGCCAATCGAGCAAAGCTGTGGGACGTGCTTGCTATCTATTCTTGGGTGGACAAAGATATTGGGTATGTTCAAGGTAATTACTTGTGTTAACCCAAGGACTGGCTGTTGGTGAAAGATCTTACCCGTTTTTATTTATTTTTATTCCCTCGAGCAGGAATGAACGATATATGCTCTCCAATGGTTATACTATTTGAAGAGGAAGCAGACGCCTTCTGGTGCTTTGAACGCGCAATGCGTAGACTTGTAAGATTTTATTGTCCTTGGCTCCAGGCAAAATGTAATAAGAATATCCATGTTGGCATATTTGACATTCTTTGTTTCCCATATTCCTTTACGTGTTGATTAGTACGAAATGAGGAACCATGCAATCAATGAATTGCTAAGTGTTGATTTCACAATGCCTTGGACATTAGGATAGATGTCCTTTTGCTCAAGTAATGCTCCTTTCTAGTCCTCCGATAGAATGCTAAACAAATAAGCTGGTAATGACGATTCTATAGATTGCTTGTGCCAGTAAACAAGTAATCATTATGCTCAATTTCTGATGCTGGATTTAGCTAAAATAAGGTCTCATGATGAAATATTTATTTTACCTGTCAAAAATAAATTATGGAAATGCTTGAACTAAATAGCTTACTCAGTTTAGTGTGTTTATGATCTCACATTGATTGAGAAAGAATAATAGGTGGAAAAAGATGAGGGGAAGAGTATATTCCTGTGATATATAGGGTAACAAGAGTGCAAGAGAGAAATGCATTTTTTGATT